AAAAAAGACAATTAGGAGATAAAAAATAAAGTAAAGTACACAGATCTGGCCGGGTGTCTCTGCATTCACCTCACTGACAAAGGATTGTCCCTTAAAAACAGAACCCTGCTCCATATCCATAAATTCTCACACATATTCACACATTCTTCTCAGGATCTTTGGGGTTCTTCTGTTCAGTTTTCTCTTGCCCCCTTCCCAATAGATCAATGCTCTTGGTGCCATCGAGATTTACATTCCCTGATAGCAGAAATGCAATAAATTCCTCCCCCAGAGTTCTGGGCACTGCTGGCTTCATCTGGATAAGAGAGTTTATAAAATTTAAAAGTCTCCAGCTATTTTTTATTTTATTATTATATCTTTTTCAGTCCTTGGGTTACACAGACAAAAGTAGTTTTTGTTTTAATGCTATGTCATAGCTTAACATACATGTATTATACCACTATTCCTAAGTTTCATTAATAGCAGAGATAAAGAAGAATATATTCTTACAGCTAAATTTTTTAATCTTTTATATATAATATTCATTATAACACTCGGGAAAAGCCAATAATACGATATGCATTTCTAACAAGGTGCAAAGGGAATTCTGTTGCCAGCGAGCTCAGTGGGTTTGACCATTGATGCCTTGGCCCAGCAGGGGAATTCATTTCATCCCGATTTAACAATCCCACATTGCAATGAAACTTCTCCTCCTTTTGCAGGCGAGGGTGCAGCACTGCGTGTGCTCGGTGGCCAGCGATCACTCGGTGGGGCTGCTGAGCCTGAGGGAGAAGAAATGCATCATGCTGGCCTCCCGCCACCTCTTCCCCATCCAGGTGATCAAGTGGAGACCATCTGACGATTACCTGGTGGTGGGCTGTTCCGACGGCTCCGTCTACGTCTGGCAGATGGACACGGGTGAGTCCGGCCGCTCCGGGGGCCGGCAGCAGCGCGGGACTGCTGCTGGGCTGGGGCACAACTGCTTCTGGAACCTTCCTGCCTGGAGCTGGGAGCCACGGGTGTTCCTTTTCCACATTCCTGCCTGGAGCTGGGAGCTCGGGGTGTTCCTTTTCCACATTCCTGCCTGGAGCTGGGAGCTCGGGGTGTTCCTTTTCCACATTCCTGCCTGGAGCTGGGAGCCACGGGTGTTCCTTTTCCACATTCCTGCCTGGAGCTGGGAGCCACGGGTGTTCCTTTTCCACATTCCTGCCTGGAGCTGGGAGCTCTGGGTGTTCCTTTTCCACATTCCTGCCTGGAGCTGGGAGCCACGGGTGTTTGGTGCAGGATCACCCTGAGGGAAATTCAGAGGTTCAGGTGTAACTCCATCCTTTTCCACGTGAGCTCCTCACTCCAGGTGTTGAGCACAGGATCACCCTGAGGGAAATTCACAGAGGTTTAGGTGTAACTCCATCCTTTTCCATGTGAGCTCCTCACTCCAGGTGTTGAGCACAGGATCACCCTGAGGGAAATTCACAGAGGTTTAGGTGTAACTCCATCCTTTTCCACATCTCTGTGTGGAGCTCCTCACTCCAGGTGTTCAGGAGAGAACCACACTAAGGGAAATTCACAGAGGTTCAGGTGTAGCTCCATCCTTTTCCACGTGAGCTCCTCACTCCAGGTGTTGAGCACAGGATCACCCTGAGGGAAGCTCCCAGAGTTCAGGTGTAGCTCCATCCTTTGGGAGCGCCCCTGCTCACCCCGTTAAGGCTCGTTCCCGTTCCCGTTCCCGGTGTGTTCTGAGCCGTTCCCATCCCTCCCGCGGCCGCAGGGGCTCTGGATCGCTGCGTGATGGGAATCACAGCCGTGGAGATCCTCAGCGCCTGTGACGAGGCCGTGCCCGCCGCGCTGGACGCGCTCAGCCACCCCGCCGTCAACCTGAAGCAGGCCATGACGCGCCGCAGCCTGGCCGCGCTCAAGAACGTGGCCCACCAGAAGCTGCAGACCCTGGCCACCAACCTGCTGGCCTCGGAGGCCTCCGACAAGGTGGGTGCTGAGCCCGGCGGGAAGGGAAATCCGGGAGGTTTTCCGTGCTGGCTGCGATGGTCCGGAGTTCCCCGAGGTCACCCAGGTGACACCCAGGGCGTGGGGACACCTCCTGTTCCCTGAGGAGCTGTTCCCGAGGCTCCCGTGGTGAGGGTGTGGCAACAGGGATTTGTTCCCAGCTCCTCCTGCTGTCACCTGTGTGTCAGTGTCACAGCTCCAGCAGCACGGCTGTGCTCAGGGTGTTGTGTGTCAGTGTCACAGCTCCAGCAGCACGGCTGTGCTCACGGTGTTGTGTGTGTCAGTGTCACAGCTCCAGCAGCACGGCTGTGCTCAGGGGTGTTGTGTGTGTCAGTGTCACAGCTCCAGCAGCACGGCTGTGCTCAGGGTGTTGTGCCCATCCTGGGGAATTGGGAATGTTGTGTTTGTAGGTGTTCCCTGGGTGTTTCCTGTCCTGGTGAAGGTGTCAGGGAGAACAATGCTCCAAGAGCAGTTTCCCTTTGGAACACAGCTCCAGTCTGGGATCAGAAGGAGATGTGAGCTCGTGGCTCACCCACAGAGCTCGGTTTTCCTGTGAACACCTGTAAATTGAATTTCTGTGGTTTTTGAACACCTGTAAATTGAATTTCTGTGGTTTTTGCACACCTGTAAATTGAATTTCTGTGGTTTTTGAACACCTGTAAATTGAATTTCTGTGTTTCACGGGCACAGCTCCCTGATGGAAATTCCAACCCCCTCTCTTTTCTCCAGGGGAATTTACCCAAATACTCGCACAACTCCCTGATGGTTCAGGCCATCAAGACGAACTTGACAGACCCCGACATCCACGTGCTGTTCTTCGACGTGGAGGCGCTGATTATCCAGCTGCTGACGGAGGAGGCGTCGCGGCCCAGCGCCGCGCTGCTCGCCCCCGAGAGCCCGCAGAAACCCCCGGGCGGCTCCGACAAGGGCGGCTCCTTCCTCGCCGGCAAGAGAGCGGCCGTGCTCTTCCAGCAGGTGAAGGAAACCATCAAGGAGAACATCAAGGAGCACCTCCTGGACGATGAGGATGAGGACGAAGAGGCCACGAGGCAGGGGAGAGAGGACGGCGACCCGGAATATCGCTCCAGCAAATCCAAACCGCTGACTTTGCTGGAGTATAACCTGACCATGGACACGGCCAAGCTCTTCATGTCCTGCCTGCACGCCTGGGGCCTCAACTCCGTGCTGGACGAGCTGTGCCTGGATCGCCTGGGCATGCTGAAGCCGCACTGCTCCGTGTCCTTCGGCCTGCTGTCGCGGGGAGGCCACATGTCCCTGATGCTGCCCGGCTACAACCGGCCCGCGGGCGGGGTGACGGAGGGTTTGGGAAGGGGCACGTACGGAGTGTCGCGGGCCGTCACCACGCAGCACCTGCTGTCCGTCATCTCGCTGGCCAACACGCTGATGAGCATGACCAACGCCACCTTCATCGGAGAGCACATGAAGAAAGGCCCTGCCAGGTACCCAACGGGCTCCCCGCGGTGCTCCGGCCTCGGGTTCCCTGAGCTGGGGCTCTGGGGCTCCCTGTGGTGCTCCGGCCTCGGGTTCCCTGAGCTGCTCCGGCCTCAGGTTCTCTGAGCTGGGGCTCTGGGGCTCCCTGTGGTGCTCTGGCCTTGGGTTCCCTGTGGTGCTCCGGCCTTGGGTTCCCTGAGCTGCTCCGGCCTCGGGTTCCCTGAGCTGGGGCTCTGGGGCTCCCTGTGGTGCTCCGGCCTCGGGTTCCCTGAGCTGCTCCGGCCTTGGCTTCCCCGAGTTGGGGCTCTGGGGCTCCCCGAGCTGCTCCAGCCTCGGGCTCCCCGAGCTGCTTTGTCCCCGGGCTCCCTGAGCCGGGGTGCTGGGGCTCCCCAAGGTGCTCCAGCCCGGGCTCCCTGCACCACTCTGGCCTCGGGCTCCCCACCCCTCTCATCCCCGGGCTCCCCACCCCTCTCATCCCCGGGCTCCCCACCCCAGGCTCTGGAGCTCACCTCTGTCCCTCCCCTGGGCTGTCTCGTGTTTAGGCCACCCAGGCCGGGCACCCCCGAGATGGGCAAGGGGAAGCCTCCGACCGCCGGCCACGCTGCACAAGGACAGATCAAACAAGGTAATTAAACCTTCCTTAAAGGCAGATCACACAAGGTAATTAAACCTTCCTTAAGGGCAGATCACACAAGGTAAGGAGAACCCGCCTTTGCAGGGCCTGCAGCGGCTGGCCCGGGAGATTTGGGGACACCACTGGGGTTAGGACTGGTTTAGGAGGCGGTGACATCCTTCCCTGCCCAGGAGCTCTGGGATGTCTCAAGTGCCCCCAAACATTGTGGCTTGGAGGAGGGTGTGAAGCTGTGCAGACTCATCCCAAAGTGTTCCCGTGGGAACCATGATCCCGGCTCGGGATCGGGATCACTCCCATGGGAACCATGATCCCGGCTCGGGATCGGGATCAGGATCCCTCCTGGGCTGTTCCCATGGGAACCATGATCCCGGCTTGGGATCGGGATCACTCCCATGGGAACCATCATCCCGGCTCGGGATCGGGATCAGGATCCCTCCGGGGCTGTTCCCATGGGAACCATGATCCCGGCTTGGGATCGGGATCACTCCCATGGGAACCATCATCCCGGCTTGGGATCGGGATCACTCCTGGGCTGTTCCCATGGGAACCATGATCCCAGCTCGGGATCGGGATCACTCCTGGGCTGTTCCCATGGGAACCATGATCCCAGATCGGGATCGGGATCACTCCTGGGCTGTTCCCATGGGAACCATGATCCCAGCTCGGGGCCAAGAATTTTAAATTAATTTAAAATTGATTTCTTTAAAATTGATTTCTGTAAAATGTATTTAAAATTAATTTATTTAAAATTGATTTATTTAAAATTGATTTATTTAAAATTGATTTTAAATTGATTTAAATTGATTTAATTAAAATTGATTTTAAATTGATTTAAAATGGATTTATTTAAAGTTGATTTAAAATGGATTGATTTAAAATGGATTGATTTAAAATTGATTTAAAATGGATTGATTTAAAGTTGATTTAAAATGGATTGATTTAAAATGGATTGATTTAAATTTGATTTCCAGTGAGTCCATTTGAGATGGGCTCTGTTGTTTTGAAGCCATCCCAGTTTCTGTCTCCATTCTGTTCCTGTTCCTCTGCAGCTGCAGCTCTGCCTCTTCCCTCTCAAAACCTCAGCTCTCAGCAAATTAAAATATTCATTGCCAGCTGAATTTTCACTTGAACAGTCATTTTCAGTTCAATATTATTGTAAAATTCATTATTTTTAACCTGAATAGTAGTTTGAGTTGAATATTGTTTTTAAATTTAATATTATTTTGAGTTGAATATTATTTTTAAATTTAATATTATTTTGAGTTGAATATTGTTTTTAAATTTAATATTATTTTGAGTTGAATATTATTTTAAAGCTGAATTTTATTTTTAAGCTGAATATTAATTTCAAGCTGAATATTAATTTTAAGCTGAATATTAATTTAAAGCTGAATATTATTTTCAAGCTGAATATTTTTAAGCTGAATTTTGAGCTGAATATTAATTTTAAGCTGAATATTAATTTTGAATTGAATATTATTTTAAAGCTGAATATTTTTAAGCTGAATATTAATTTTGAATTGGATATTAATTTTAATTAAATATTAATTTTGAATTGAATATTAATTTTAAGCTGAATATTACTTTTGAATTGAATATTAATTTTGAATTGAATATTAATTTTGAATTAAATATTAATTTTCCTGTGCTGCTCTCCTCACTCTGCTCTCACTTTGCTCTCTTTTATTTCCTTCTTTCTGAATATTAATTTTGAGTTGAATATTATTTTAAAGCTGAATATTATTTTGAGTTGAACATTAATTTTTAAGCTGAATATCGAATTGAATATTAATTTTGAATTGAAATTTTTTTAAGCTGAATATTATTTTTAAGTTGAATATTGAATTGAATATTAATTTTGAGTTGAATATTATTTTGAAGCTGAATATTGAATTGAATATTAATTTTTAAGCTGAATATTAATTTTGAATTGAATAGTAATTTTGAATTGAGTATTAATTTTGAATTGAATATTAATTTTGAATTAAACATTGATTTCCCTGCTGCTCTCCTGACTTTTCTCTCTTTTATTTCCTTCTCTTTCTGAATATTAATTTTGAATTAAACATTAATTTCCCTGCTGCTCTCCTGACTCTTTTATTTCCTTCTCTTTCCTGCTGAAGCCGCTGCTCCCGGCGCAGACTCCGGCCCTGCCGACAGCTCCGCTTTCCATCCCTGTTTCTTGGTCAATGAAGGTATTCCCTCTTTTCCTCCTTTTCCTCCTTTTCCTCCTCCCCTCACATCTGATTCCGGCCTCATTTGCAGTTTATTCATTTCAAACCCCTTCATTTGCATATTTGCATATTTGCATTCTGGATTTGAAGGGCCGCCTGGTGTGAATTCCGTAAATATCGGATAGGAAACAGGCACTGAGTTATTCCAGCTGTGCTGCTGGAACAGCTGGATGGGCTGGGGCAGGTGGGCACAGTGGGCTGGACCAGGATTTCTGGCATTTTGGGGATTTTTTTGGACTTTTTGGGATTTTGGGGGATTTTTTTTTTTGGGGGGGGGGTTTTTTTGGGATTTTTTGGGTTTTTTGGGGGGATTTTTTTGGATTTTTTGGGG